TGTCATTTCCCATACAGAAACTCCATTTAAAAAAAATCGACTTCTGCTGTCCCTTCTTGCAGAAATGATGTTCTTTGAAGGCTGCATATCTTTTGCATATCTTTAAATACAAGTCGGCTGTAGCCGTGAGAAAACTACAGTAACTGGCACATACTTGGATTTCTTCAGGTACTCAGCAAGGCTCTAGATGCTTTCTTTACTCAGTGGCAAGCAGATGATGGTGGACAATTTTTAGGATTGCTTTCTGATAAAATAGGCATGTGGATACTTTGTCATGTATTCATTCTCTGCAGGATTTGCATATTTGTATTCAGATAGTTTGAAGTGTCTATATTATCATTGCAAAGCAAGACTTGAAGCAGAACTTCACAGAGGTTCACATCAGCTTCACAAGGATAAATGCGAGCACCAGAACCAAGACAATAAGCAGAAAATTGAGCAGCAGGTTGACACCTCTGTTGTTAGCAAGATCCATGATGTGCATCAGTCTGCCCTCTTGTGCTTGCTGCAGACTCTTGATGGTAGATTTGGGTTGTTCCTGCAGTAGTAAGCAGTGTAGAATCACACTTAATTTCATTGTGTCCTCTGCTGTTTGCTTGGTTTTAATTTCTACCACTTAAGAAAAAAGCTTTACAGTAACTGTTTCCCCCTCCCCCCCAACAAAGGAATGTGGATGTTCCTTCAAGTCTAATTTTCCAAATGCCTTGAAAGAAAAACAAAGTTAACGATAGCTTTCATCTTTGCAGGCCCATGTGATTTTTCAAAAAGAATAGCTGTTCTCAACACCTACTTGTTTCAGCAATGGACTGTTGAAAATTTGCTTCTAAAAGATCTCTGTAGGTGCAAAAACCACTCAACTTCCTCATCTGTGCAAAAAGTCCTGCTTTTAATAGGAGTGTTTCCTACCCTTCTAGGGTTTGGCATCATGCAGTGCAGTGGGTGATGTTTTGCCAGCAGTGTGCTGTTTGGGATTAATTGCAACTTTGCAAATGCCTTAAGAATCTAGATTGGGCTGGCAGAGGATGCATCCTTCGTGCTTTTAATAGCATATACACAATAGCTTATTTTAAAATAGTATTAATAACTTAGCAATTGTGTTTTATCTATAGAAAAAATAGATAAAAATTAAAGCAACGAATAGGATTGCTCAGCCCTAACAGTGAAATGTTGCCAAAATGTCCTTTTAATAACCAGCTGAAGTTTTAGGAAATGCCACAAGAGGGCAGTGTTTTATAGTTTTATATTTTATTAAAAAATCATTGTACTTCTGTATTCTTGTATCTTACAATACAGTGGGCTTAGAAAGCAATCTGTTTGACTGAACTGTCTGATATTACAGTAAATCTAGGGTCTGGTTTAAATAATTTATGTTACCAGGGCTCTTGCTGAGATGAGCAGCAGGTTTGAAGGAATCCTTATTTATAAAGTGCTCTGGTTTAGGCCTTGCAATGAGCAAGAGGCTTTGCCTGTATCCTTCCACAACTAAAACAGATTCTTTTTTCTACCACCCTGTTTTTAACATCTAGCTAAAATGAAAAGGAAAAACTACATTTGTGGTGAAATAAAAGATACCTGGATCTTGTTGGGCTTAACAAATATTTTCTAGTTGTATTCTGACAGATGCTGTTTATTAATAGCCATACGAATACAGGCATCTGGCCTGTAATCTATAGTATAGCAATATGCCTCTTGATATGAGCAAGAATACACCCTAAATGACTGCTTTTGTTACTCCTCTCTAATTTTGCCGGAGAAGATATAGGTAAAGTACATTTTGGCATGAGTGTGTGTGTCTGATGTGACTATTGCTCTGTGTGCAGTTGTAGCAAAACTTGCATTAAAGATCTTTATGCGGGGGGGGGGGGGGGGGGGCAAATATTTTGTGCAGGTTTTGTGAATAATTTTGTTTAAGCCTATTTTACACTTGTCTTTCCACTGAGTGGTTCGCTTCTGCTCGGAAGTGCAGTTGTTGGTGAATTGGTGCAGCAAAATTAAGAACGGCAAGCACCTGCTGCCCTCTAAAATGCCTCACTCTGGCTAGGGTTGGTTAGAGCAAAATTTCAATGCTGAAATGGGTTATGTCTTCACCTAGAGAAAAATGGGTAGATGTAGCAGTTTTTGCTGAAGAATGGCTGAGGAGACACATCTTTATAACCAGCATAATCTTGTTCCTGATTTGGCTCTTTTCCAGAGTAAAATAGCCACTGAAGTTTGTCTTTTGTGTTTTTTTTGGGTTTGTTTGTTTTTTTTTTTTTGACGAAGAGTAATACCAGATTGTTGCCTCTTTGGCTGTCTTTATTTACTGTCAGGATATAAGATAAATTTAGCCTTGGGTAGAGTGGAACAGAGAATTGAAAACTTAATCCAAACTACATGCTGTGTTTGGAATTTTTATTACAGCTTATAAAAGTAGTGAACAGTTTCATTACACTTACATTAAATTCATTAGGCTCTCATGTGCACTGGTTACTATGAATTATGTGTAAGTGATTTGGACATCGCAAAATAAGCAAGATTACTGTTGAAAACCAAAACAGAATAAACAGAAGTATCAAGAATTGTAAAGCTGGATGATGATTGGCTCTTTTTTACATAACTTTAAGTAGATGATAGAATGCTTCTAAATGGAATTGTATTTAAGCATCTTATTTCACACAATATATTTTCAAGCAGTCATTTTAATAAATAAAAATACAGTAGATGTTAGTTTTAACACCCATATAATTATACAAAGAAGACCGTACTATATACAAAAGGTTTTATGTTTGTAATCTCTGGCTTCAGTTGAAGAGATAGAGGATGGTAGTGAGGATGGTAGCAGATTTTGTGATCAGCAAAATCCTGAAGCACAAATGAACTATGCAGTACCTGCAATTTACTTGCATTGCTGTAGAACAGTAGGGTTTCCAGTTTATTTATACTTTGGTTTTGTTCTTAGTTGTTAATTGTTGGTTTATGTTTTTTTTTTTTTTTTAATAAATAATGGCCTTTAAGCTACCTATGAGGAAGCTGGTGGTTTTTTTATGAGAGAGGAATGGGAGTTTTATTTTCCTAGCAATATTTTACTTTGATTTTTGTGTATTACTGATTTATGAAACAAATAATCCCAGCGTGTCCTCAGAATGTATATACTGATATTTTACTCTAACACCTTTTTTCTTCAGGAAACTTTCAGTACTATAAATAGTTTCTTGAAACACCTCCACAACAAACTAAAACTGGAAACCCTATCTATCACAAAAACACAGATGTAAAAAACATAAGAAGGTAGCTTTATATTTTTCTGTTTCCTTCCCACCCCAAAGTGTGCTGTTTGTGGCTTTCCTTAAGAAGAAGAATTAATAGGAAACTGCGATTGCTAAAATCTCATGCATTTAGGAGAGTGGTCAGAATGAATGAAAGGGAAATTAAGATTATTTTGACAGTTTGAATCTGCAATAGTCATATACTAATTTGCAAGTGGGGATGTGTGTTGCCAATCTCATCAGCACTTGCCCTAATCCTCTTAGAGTAGCTAATTAATTTCCTCTAGTAATTAACCTTATTTCAGAAGTCTGGTCACTGAACATTTTGTTCGCCAAAGAGGAAGCGCATTGCCACTGGCCTTACTTGCATTCCATCAAACACAGAGGTTTTTTCCAAACACTTCTTCCCTTCCTGCTTAGGTGTTCAGCATCAACCTCCACTCATGGAATATTAAGTTTTAAAGTCAGAATGCAAGATTAAGGTAAACTTGTTTTAATTTCTGTATTTATCACTAGGGTTGCTTATGCAAAATGGTATAGAAAGATGCCTGTTTAAAAACTGGATTTCTCTTTGCCCTCTACCTTGAACTTTCTTGAAAATAGGAAACTGTATAAATTTTCTAGGAATTTAGCTTAATACCAGCAACTTATAGGAGGGTTAAAAGTCTGCTGCCCAGTCTTGTTACTGAAAACTGTTGGAGTAGAAACTTCATCTTTTATGGGTGTAGGCTGTGATTTATATGTTGAAAATATACTTCTGCAATGCTTTATGTCCTGTGCTTAACTGTTTATATGTATGATTTATTTTAGGGAAATACTTGCCTTTTTTTCCCCAAGAAGCGTTTGCAGGTGTAGGTGGTGGTGTTACTTGAATGATACACTTCAATACATTAGTAAGGTTGACCTAGACCTTCCTCATTACCATATCAGCTACAAGCTACCTTGTGTGACATTGGCAAATACCAAGTTCTCTGTAGCTTCAAGTTAAGGAAATTGTTAAGTTATAGCAGGCCATAATAAAGGTGTCTGAGACCAAATATTAAAAACTCTTGAGAATTATTTCTGGGTTATGCCAACTGTCATGTCAGTTAAATGACTATAGAAAATTGAATCTTTGATACCAGTGTGGAAGTCTCATTTTTTTTCTGCAAAACACAATGAAAAAACTTTTCAGATGTCACTTAGTTCTGTAAGGATGTATCGAGTGAAAAATACTGTAAATGAAGATGCCTTTTTATTTTTTTTCTTCCTTCTTTCTCAAATCCAGGTGTGTGGGTTATATATATATACACACATACAAGACTATATATATAAAAGATCCCTTAAACAGGGAGGAAAGCATATGAAATGGGATTTTATTTCAGGGTTAGAAGAGATTTTTGGTTTATTTTCATATTTCCTTAAAAAAAAAAACACTAAACCAATTTGAATGCCTTCAGTTGATAATGGAGAGATACAGCATCTTGGAGTAAGCAGAGCAGAAATTTCCCTAGGATGCATTGAGGGCTGTGTGCCTGTAAATGTTTTTCTGGCAGACACAGGTCAAATTTGGAACCCCACCAAGTTAAGGACTTTCAGAGAAACCTGAAAACACTCTGCTTGCCACAAAAGTGAAGTTCCTATCTGTGGGATGTAGCTGAAACATTGAGGAACTTACCAACTCCATGAAGAGCAGGTACTTTACCCCATTCAGAAAAGGCATCTCTTGAGACATAAGGTCATGCACAGCTTTGTAACAACAGGCTCTAAACATCGTTCTTTACAGAAGTAGTATGTTTTTAATACATGTAGCAAGTAGTAAGAGACAGTGCGATAGTTGGCATACAGCTCTAGTCCAGGTGCTAGCCCCTCTCACAAGAGGATCTTTGCATTGGGTGTCTTCCCTCTGGGGGCGACTCTCTTGGAGGACAGTGCAGAGAAGTGCTGGAACTTCAGAGGAGCATCACAATGATACAGATCAGCAAGAGGCAAATTAAAATCAGGCAGAAATTCACAAAGAGCTCTTGGAGCCTTTGGCGTGCTTGTGGGTTCACCTCAATAGTTGAGGCTCTCCTCAGAGCAGAGCGGGTTATGTATTGGACCTTCTCCATGGCAACAAGAAAGCAGAGGGCACAAATCAGAGGTTTTAAGAGGGCAGGAAAGAGGAAAAGTTGTCAGGAACAGTGCAAAGTGCCTATTATCTTCTCTTTTTGTTTTAGAGAGCCTTTGTGGAGCTGGGAAAGCAGGAAAGTGAAGAGTTAGAAATACAGAAGTGTTTTGATCAGTACAAATAGAGATTGTTTTAAAGTTCTAAAAATCCTGAAATTAATAGATTACCTTTACCATGTTTTTAGATTAGAACAGTATTTTTTATAATTTTATTTTTTAAGTTTAGGTCTGTGCTGTATTGTGCTGCTTCTCCTGAAGACTATGGAACACCTGCTTCTTAACAGTGCTGGGGAATTGTAAAATGGAAGTTGTGGATATGTGGGTTTTACCCACATCATTGATATAGGTCCTGACCATTTGTCCTGGGTTCAGCAGTAGCAGTCATGTTTCTCCTCCTTGGTAGCTGGTGCAGTGCAGTGTTTTGACTTTCGGCTCGGGAACAGAGCTGATAGAGATGTTTTGGTTTGGCCAAGGACTTTGTGAGCCTCATGCTCTGCCAGGGAGGAGGGGAAGCCAGGAGGAAGCAGAGACAGGACACCTGACCCAAACTGACCAAAGAGCTATTCCATACCACAGCACGTCATGCCCAGGATGTAACTGGGAGTTAGCCGGAAGGGCTGGGAGACTGCAGGGTTGGAGGAGGTATCGGTCGGAGCTTGGTCGGGCTGGGGGGGGCGAGTTATCGGTTGGCTGGTGGTGAGGTGTTGTATTCCCTTGTTATTTCCTTTATCATTATTATCATTGGTGGTAGCAGTAGTGATTTGTGTTATACCTTAGTTACTAAACTGTTCTTATCTCAACCCGTGGGAGTTGCATTCTTTTCAGTTCTCCTCTCCGTCCCTCCGGGAGCAGGGGGAGGGCAAGAAAGGGGGGGAAGTGAGTGAACGAATTACCTGACTGGGTTTAAACCACGACACCATTTCATCCTTTACAGTTTATAAAAAGGCCATGGCTGATTTCCCTCCCACCTCCACTTCATTTGTTCAAGCATAGATGAAAGCCTGATGAAATGGCTAGAGTCACAGATATTTCAGCAAGGAGATCTGGATATTACTGCTGGCTATTATTGACCTGGGCAGATAATCTGATTTACCAGTACCTTATTTTGGAAGGTGTTGGGGCAGGAAATCTTGTTGAAGCATTTGCATTCCAAATAAAAATTCTTTAGGGCGTGTAATTAAAAGCTAGTGCATCATTTTTATAGGGAATTTTTAGTAATACATTTCTCAACAGACACAACAGAGGAAGGACTAATGTGTATTTTGTAATACACATCTAGGACAGTGTGTTACTAAATGTAGGTGCAAAGGCAGAGCGCTGCCATGAGGAGCAAAATAAAACTTGTATATAACTTTGTCTCTGAATTGTTTTATTTTAAGTATATCTTAAATGCAGATGAAGCATGGGGTGCCAGTAATCTTAAAATTGTCAAAGAGTAGTTGCAGTGTAAAACCCTCCTGTATGAACTTTCTGTGACAAGAGGCTGGCTTGGACATATGCATGCTTAGTTTATAGTGAGGTGGAATCTGTAGGTGCTGCCACAATATGAAAATTTGGTTTTCAAGATGATGTTGAGACATGTCTCTCCCAAACCTTGCTCCTAAACCTGCACTGAAGCTATTCTGTGATTCTATGAATGTTTTGTAAATTTATATTGTGATCATCTCTTTCCCAGGCTTCTCCTTGTCAGATATCTGCTGCCCAAATAACATGATAAGCATGACTGAATCGGATACTGTGTTGTCCACGAATTTGTCTTTAGATGTAGCTAAAATGGAAAAACCTTAAAGTAAAACAGGAGCGTCTTTCAGACTCTTCTTTTTCTGTCCTTCCATGTAGGCCTGTAGGGTCAAATAGTACTGTATGAGCACAATATATGTGCTGCCAGTGCCAGTGTTGTATTTAAAAAGAGGCTTTCAAAGGAAACCAGATTACACATGGATATTTTAATAACTTTAGAGGATTCCATGTGATGACATCTCCTCCTAAAACTGAACTTCAGATTTTGTAACCATGCTTTGAGCTATAATTGATCTTAACTTTATTATGAGTAAGACACAAACCAAGAACTTACTTTTGTAGTGACTATAATTTTTCAGCTTTGTTTGACTTTATGCGGTGCCTGGTTTTGTCTGTTTAAGCAGTTAAAGTGCTTGCCAAGTATTCTGCTTAGCTTTTTGATTGTCACTGTCTGCCCCAAGTGCAGTAAAAGCAAAACATGCACAGTAATTCTCAGGTGGCTTGGCTGAAAGTACATTTGTTCTCCCAGCCCATGACGGGCAGGGGTGCATTAGGCTGTTTATCTTTTTCTAGACAAGGCATGTTAGATGAACCACTAATGCATTTACAGTAGTACATAAAAGTTTGTGTAACCAGCTTGTGTGACAGACACTGCACAGAGAACAGTATTTCTTGTGGATTACTTCAACAAAACTTGTTGCATCATTTTTTTTAATGCAGGGTGTATGCAACCTGTGGTCTTCTGGCAGTGTGTGACCTGTGACAGAAACATATCTGTCTTCTTCCTGACTTCTTGGGGCCTTGTAAGGATTGGAACAGCACAAGTTTTTCCCAGCATATATGCACAATAAGTCCATTTCTGTGTGCTGCATTAGATTTAAGTGCACACGTGCTGGCACCTGCACTGCTACATTGCTGCCTGTTTCACTTGGATGTTTCAAGGGGGAAGGACCTGGGTCTCTGAAGTACTTCCAGATAAAACAGTATTAGCCGATTGGGCATTGCAGATGCAAGGCCAAGACAGGTGAGGAGAAATAGTGAGATCTCTCTGTGAGGGGGAAAAAATACTCTTCCCTTTAGAATGGGTGAGAGATGTTGCTGAGGGAGCAGGCAGTAAGTCAGAAGGCTCAGTTGAGCTGAGCCGGCATTATCTGTTTGGACATACATGACCAGACAAGCAATACAAAAGGATCTTAAAAAAAGAAAGGTAGTGTAATTTAAAATACATACCTTTTACAGCTAGAAAGTGGTGTAGGGAAGAGATGAAGAAAAGTCAAAATAGAGTAACTTGGTTTTCTTGATTTAAAAGCTCATATAGGTATTTTGAAATGCCTGCCTGTTGTTTTACCCTACTCAGCCTGTCTGGGGGATTTGTTTTCTCATAAGCAAAGGAAGCAAATTCTGTGTCTGTATCACAAAAAGTTTGTTGTTACAAGCACATGGCTTTAACTAATAAACACATACCTTCCTTGTTAATCTTCCATGGCGCTGTCACCCACCTAAAGTACGCATAAAGAGAAACAGATTCAGTAATAGAGCTGCATATGGGTGGCTACCAAGGTCAAAATGGACAGTCTGAAAAATAATTACACAGAAATAAAGGCTGATCATTGCCACAAATAGTAGCTCTTCTCCCTTGTTTAGTCCCCTGACTGTGTTTTAGGTCACTGTTAGGAAGTATTATTCATGTACCTCTTCTTAAAAGTGCAGTGAAAGGACAAACTATATTTGACCTTTCTTTAAAGTTGTGTTACTCATGTGTGACAAGACTAAGTATTGCATAGAAGAAACTGTTGGCCGCACTGCTATGTAGCTATGTGTTCAATCCAGTTTGTTAGTGGATGTGAAAGGCTAGTCTTACGCGCAGTGTGAATCTGCAGGTAGAGATCATGGGGCTGACAAAGTCTGTTTCCATGTAAGGAGTCCTCTACACCTGGTGCCCTAGAGTGAGTCACGGATCACAATTGTTGTGTCCTCCTTCCCTGACATGTGACTGTTTCCCTGATTTGTATTAGGTTATTTTTATCTTTGTTCCTGGGTGTCCTTCACAGTGTGAGGAGGTATGTGACCAGAGAGAAAACTGTGGGCCACCCTCGTTCCTGGTACAACTACATTGACTCCATTGAAAGTCACACAGGATAAATTTGTCTCCTTTGGAAATGCCACAGCCATTTGGGACACAGATTGTTTCCTGTCATATGTTTACTAAATGCAGCAGTGATATCAGTGGAATGGAAGAGGTTTGACACACTTGATTTGTTGCTGTTCTATACAACCAAGTGAAGCCCTGAAAGGGCATTGTTAAAAAGTATTATTGTGTAACAGTCTATCCCATAGATTTTAAAATGAGATGTCCCCAAACCCCAGTAATTCAGCTTCATCCATTGAAAATAAATGTGTTAATAACCACAATGCAGTGATGCAAAGCATACCATCAAGTTACATGATCCTTGGTTGTGTTTAAAACTGTTACCAAAAATTACCTGGCCTAAGAAATTTCTATAGCAATTTGCAAGCAGTGTGATACTCCTAAATAGGAAGGGAATCTTCTACGTGTTCAGAGGAGGTAAGTTTAAGATTTGAGTATATAGTGACGAACAAAAAGGAACTCTGCATGCAGGGCTAAATGCTGTTGAACCTGAAGACCCTTGTCACCATTGTCTGTAGATTGTATGGCCCCCAAAGAGGACATTGCAGAGTTCTAAAGCTTTGCCTGGGCACAGCATCTGCAGTTGATGTGTAGGCATTGGTGACTGTCCTGTGTTCATGTATGTGTCTTACTCTAAGTTGCATTGCTTTGTTTTGAACCTTGGTGTAATATACCTCATCATTGGCAGTGTGGAGTCACTGTGGTTGAGACCTTCAGGTCTGAAAAATCTCATTTTTTTAGGGGGGGGGTGAGGAAGATGAGAAGTGGGAAAAGAGTGAAGCAGGAAGTGTTAATTAACTTGAGACCTCTGGAAGGTCTCACTGCTGTCACTTCAGTCAGTGAAAGTTCCCAGTGATAAAACAGAAGTTGCTTACAGGTTTTCAAGTACAGAAGTGATTTATAAAGATATGTCATAATTTTTTAGTTTTGTTCTTTTTACAAAGAAACCCCAAGAATTATGGAGGTGACTTGCTAGGATTTACCCCAGCAGCTTTATTTTGTATTTACCTATGCTAGGGGTACAGAATTCTGTTGCTTATTCTCATGCTAGGCTGAGAGTTGCCCTAGGCAGTTGTGTCAGTGAAGAAGGGTATTAAGGATATTAACAAATTCAATAGTTGGGTGAGGGCAAGAGTGCAGACACTAGTGCAGGAGAGGACAGGCTGAGGAAGGAAAGTATAAAAAGCTGAGCAGAGGAAGAGCATGGAAGTATAGAAAAAAACCCAAATAACTGTGTAAAGGAAAGAAGACTGCAGCTGGAGTACATTAAGTCATTGAAGAGTTAGTGTCTTGTACTGTATAATGTCATTTTCTCAGTCATCTGCAGAAAGCGCTTCCTTGGGATGGGGCAAGAAGCAACAATTAGTCTCGGAGTTTGGCAAGTGCTGGTAGCAGGAAAAGCAAACTCAGTTTTTCCTCCTTTTTACCTTTATGTTTTAAAGTCTCTTTTCTACTGAAGTGTCAGTACTTTTCATGTTTGGGAGAGGACAAGGGAAGGCTCACACTTAAAGTTGTTTTTCTCCTCCCCATCTCATTAATCCATTACTTTTACAGTCTTCCTTTTGACTAGCTTTGCTGTTTTCAGTGTCCTAGAAATAAGATCACCAGTAAGAACCTTTATCTGTATTTCAAGTCCCTGAGAATGTGGCAGGTGTAGATACCAAGGAATTACGCCGATGAAGAGTTGAACACACCAGGCTTGGTATCTTTCTTTTTGGAAGTTATCCACATACCTCATGGATAACCAAGACTTTTGTCTGTGTGCTGGTTCGTTAGAGTAGCTGGAAGCTAATGCTTTGGGCTAGTTTTCAACTGGGTTAAATTCCCTGCAACTGCTGCAGGACCAGGCAGTGGGATCTTGAGCAGGTGCTTCAGCCTCCATACTCATCAATTCCCCTCATCAAAATAAGACATTAAATAACCATGTTTTTCCCATCTGTTGGTATGATTTAGCTTTTAAAAAGTAACTTTCTTTTATGAAATTAACTCCTTCCACCTCTAGATGCACCAGGTGCCTAACACCTTGTTGTTAGGGAACATAACATTACTTTCCTGTGGAATTTGTTTCGTCAGTTGGGGTACTTTTCCTAAATCAAATTATTCTTAAAGCAAATAAAAAGCTGCTCTTGTAGCTGTGTAGTTATTTCCCATTTTTCTTGTTTGTAGTCTGAAAAAAGTCAGTGACAATCACCTTCAAGCTGATTACAGCCTGATTTTAGTGAGTTCCATATTGTCCAGTGAAGACACTATATTCCTAATGTATTCCAAGGATAAGAAATAAATGCAACTTTTAAAAATAGAAATGTGGTGTATATGTAAATCCAGATCTCTAAATGCAGGTAACATAGTTGTCATGGCAAATGAGTGGCAAAAAAAAAGGCAGAAAATTGTTACTTGCTGTGAATTAAATGGGGTATTTCACATCTGATTTGTAATACCACCTGCTATGTAGCACATGCTTCTGTCAGGACTGTCGACTGTTGTTACTCAGCATTTGGATTCCTGTGATACGGGATGTTATCAGTGTGAATTTTTTAGGTTTAACTTAACAGCTGAGCCACGCTGTCGTCTTCTTTAAATTACCTAACTCTGTGGCAGAACAGAATTCAGGTGAACAGGCGTCTAACCTCCTGCAGCTATCAGTGCAGTCCAGTAAAGGGCTGCCTGCAGGAGTCAAGTTTCTATGTATGTTCAATCTGTGTGTGTACACATAAACTACGTATTTTCAAAGGTGTGTGTAGGCACTGTTTGTGTTAGGAGAGAAGGATGCTCTGTGGGGCAGAGTAACCTCTCTCTTCACTGGAAAATATATTTTGTGTAACACTAACCCTGAAAAGAATCTGTCTATCTCTCAGGATCATCTTGCTCATTGTAGGCATTGGTTTGAAGGCACTGGGAGGTCTGAAGTGGTACTTCTGCCTACTGGAAACAGCTTCTAGAAAACTTGGTAATAGATTGTTTGCCTTGGGAGTAACAGGATGTCCAGAACTTCCAGTACTTGTCTATTCAAAACTGGCACAAGGCTGCTGAGCACAAGCCCAAGCACCTGCATGTGTTTTTGCCTGATGCCTACCAGTCATTAATAGGAAATGGAATTAGGTATGGCTGTTCAGTAACAGGGAAAACATGCCTCCCACAATTAAGGTCTATATTAAATCTGACTTTTCTAAAACCAGAACCTTAAGCGGACGTAACTAGTAAGGTGTGAATTGATAGAAGGGGGAACATGTTTGTATGGAGGAGGAATTCCTTGAAAACCGACATATTCATGAATCATAATCCTTTTAAAAATATCTGTATATCTACATATTAAAATTCTTTATGTGACATATTTCTGTTTGAGATGCACTCCAGTGATATTAAAACTGGGGTTATATTTTGTTGCATAGTGTGTTACATGCTTCCATTAGTTGAAAAAAATTACTTTGCATTTGAAATTAAGTTCATGTTACAAATCTTAGATAAATTATTTCTCTGTTACTAGAAGCATTCTATGACAAGTTTGGCAGTTACAATGACCAACAAGAGAAAATAAGCCTTTAAAAACATTCACAGCAAAAATGTAGTTTGAACTGCAATTCAAGCAATTCAATGCATGCTTGAACGTGACATAATTTCTGTTCCAGTACTGCTATACACTGCTTACATTTTTAAATTAAGGGTACTTTTTCATCATACAGCAAAAAATGTTTTCTCTCTTGATGTGTTAGATCAGAAAACTGGTCTTATGCATTAAATGTGGTGAAAGAGCTTTACCTTTGCTGGGCTGTGCTTGGGCAGCTTTGGGGAAACAAAAGTGTTTCTATAAAACTTTGAGTTACTCTCTTTGTGTATTTTGTATTTAAAACCAAGAATAATAATAAATAAAAAAAAAACACTAAACAAAAACCCCACCAAACAAGGGAAAAAAAAAATAAACACCCCAAACCAACAAGGCAAAGAAAAAAAAGCCAAAAAAAAACCACAACCCCACCCAAAACCAACGGAAAAAAAAAAGCCAAAACAGCCCCATAACCCCAAATCACACAACCTCAAACCCAAAACTTGATAAATTTAAAAGGAGACACGAAGGTCTGAGGAACATGTTAAAAGCTTCTCACCTTCTAGTGTAATGCTACTTGTGTGAATCATCTACCCAAGGAAAGCTGGTGTCCCACAAGCATGTAGAAAAGTCTCAGTTGCCTTTGTTGTTGTTAATATGTCTCCGCAGCACTACAGTTTTGACTCGGAGCTGCAGTGCCCACATTTCTATATTTTTGATAACCAATTGTAACCTGCCCTTAAGTACAGGCATTTTTGTACAAAAGTACAGCTACAGTGCCTTGCTGAAAGAACGAAAAGCATGAAAGAAGAGAGGTTCCTTACCTCTGGTGTGACTGCTAGTGAAGCACAGCAGAGCCTGTTCCAAGCTGTGGGAAGTATCTGTAGATCTCTGGCAACTTCTCTGAGTCTGTGACCAAGTTGTGGGAACAATTGAAGTAGGCTGAGGGGGGAAAAATAACAAAAGTTTCAGAGGCAGGACTGTCGGTGTCATTCAGCAGCTTGCAAGTTGTGATTGGTTCTGTTTCTGCCTGCTGGCAGAGGCAGTTGCTCCTTTAAACGTGTTCACAGTAATAATGTATTAAACATGGGTAATATTGTCCCTCCTTGAAGGGAGCTGTGTGCCAAGGAGACCACCTGCTCAGGCACAGAATTAAGGAATCTGGGAAGTGGTGTGCTCCAGTGGGGTAGCAAAGGGAGCTGCTTGTTCACACCATGCCTTTTCTTTAACAGGATCATAAATAGGAATTTTTTCAGGGGGCTCCTTTGGACATGTTACCTCTGCTACAGCAGTGTTTCTTCATCATTGAAAACCTACTCTCTAGTGTAGGTGATCACAATTCATGTGTTGTGTTTTTTTTTTCTACTTGGAATGATCTTCTTTTGTACAGGGGGTTTCTTAAACTATATTTCCTGTATACATAGTTCTGATAATCCTGTTACACAGCTGGTATTCAGTTTAGTGTATATTGTGCGTTTTCCAGTATAATCTTTCTTCTCACAATGCTTGAACTGAAATAATTCTGTATTTCAAGTCTCTTCCAACCTTTCAGTTGATCTGTGGGTTAGAGGATTTTTTTTTTCTCCAAATAAAATCCAGTGATAAATTACAGAGATAAACTTACCATTCCTATATAACTTGAAGTATTTACTTTTCCTTTAAAGCCCAAGCCTGCTCTTCCCCCTTACTCCCCCCCTATTTTTCTTTTTTTGTGGCTGGAAACTCTCCAAGTGATTTCTTAAGAACCTGTTCTGCTAGTTCGGACAGGAGCAGCAGTTGGATGCTACTTCCCAGGTTATCTTATGTATGTTATCCTGTGCTGGGAAATGACAAATGACACCACAGTGCGTATACGGGGTAGGTTTTGTGAATCCAGGAAGTAGAGGATTTACTGAATGTGAAAGGACTGAACTGTTGAGTGTGCAAGCATTCAGCGTAAGGCTTTGCATGTGGAGGCAACTGACAGCACATGCCTCTTTTTCTTTGGGAAATTGGAGGCAAAAGTACAGAAGCTCAGCCTAACTCTGAACACTTACAGGTCTATTTTTGACAATAATTATTTAGCATAGATTAGTGCTTGGCTTTGAGCAGGAAACCAGACATGGTGGCTTCTTTTTCTAATTTATTGGGTTTTTTGGGTTTTTTCATTCCCTTTAGGCCTTGCTGTGATACATGCTTCAAACCAGAGGCAAAAAGACCTTGGATATGATGTACCACCTTATTCCAAATTGAGCTCTATTTTTATTTTTGTAAATAAGATTTAGCTCTTCTGGAAAAGTGATAGTAACAGAGTTGAAGTTGGCAACTCAGTTTTAGTATAATAAATCTGCCTTTCTGTTATCTTTTAATATCAAACCCAGAAATATTGGGTCACATATTTCAGTTGAAAGTTAATTGAAAATCTCCACAGTGAGGAGTGATAGTTCTTTACCAGTGAAAATGGTTTCATAATTTACTTATAGTGGCATTGTTAACATTATAAATCTCTCACAGTCAAGCAAACTGTAGTTGGGCTTTTTGCAAGGGAAGCTTCACATTTTTATTGCATGCTGTCATCCAGCAAAAGTACTGCTATCATGGCATTGTTTGTTTCTTTTAAAGATGCAATATGAAACTTGTACTATTCAAATTCACTTCTGTACTTTGTTATTGAAGTCTAACTCCCAGCACTGCAGTAGCTGTGATGCAGGTTTCTCCCTTTTACCAAGTCTCTGTAAAATGATCGTGTTATTTAATTACTTCACCCCAAATTATCAGCTTTTTTTTTTCAGTGAATTGGACTGAAACATCATGTTAGAGCTTTTTAGGAAGAAGAAGCCTAAAAAGAATGCTGGTTTTGTTTGTGAGCTGCTGACACAGTCACAGCTTGGTCATCTTTTTAAAGAAAGGTGCTTAAATATGCAAGGAAATCAATAAAAATAGCACTATGTCATCAGAAATATAATACATGCCTTCAGTAAATGTCTAACTCCAGTAAGAAATTGTAAGATAGAAAATACATTTGTTAAATAGCAGTAGCATGTGCAAGTTCAGACCATGCAGATGTTGTAGACCTTGTATTGATGTTGTTTCTCTGACAACAAGCTTGTTTTGGGTACCCTCCCTGGAGAACAGTTTTCCAGTTTAGTATCACTCCTTCATGTAACTCATGGGGAGTTTGGTGGAATTCTGAGGCAGATGACAAAGTTGCTTATGGGACATGTCAGTCTGACAGGTACAGACAGGATATACGAGCACATGCTGTATTGTTTGATTCACCCCCTGCGTGAATGGGTCCAGACACCCCTGTATATCAGAAGGAGAAGCTTTCTAAACAGAATCTCTGTTGGAGGTTCTGGTCTGCTTTATTTTGTTCTGGGAAACAAAAATGTGCAGCTGTTGCTTGCTTGCCCCTAAATGGAGATGATCTGGGCTCTCTCCAGTGGGATTAGAAATCTGCCACGAGAGCATGTTTCTTATAAATTTATTTAGAGATCTGGATGATATTTGGGATGATGTCCAAAAAGAAGTGAGTTATATCGCAGCATACCAAGTCCTTTATTTAAATAACGGTAAAAATCCTCTTCACACTGGACTATGCTTGTCTTTCATATACCAGTTTTTAAATTTCCAGCTGTAGACATTGGGCACCTCTATAATCTATGTAGAGTTTGAGATGTCTGTATCTGGTCTGTTGGTAATCTGTGACCCTGCATAGAAATGAACCATAATCCAAGCACAGTTGTAACACACAGGTAAAAAAAAATCAGCAGTACGTCTGAGAAGTCAGGCTAGTGCATAATTTCATCGTGCTGCTGCAGTTTTCTCTCATACTGAATATATTACTGTGACACTACACTGCTGAGGTTCTTGGGTTGCACATGTTTGGTTTAAAAGTAACTGAAAATGAAGAGAAGGGAGAAATGGATGCTCCCGCAGACATGCATCAGTTTGTGTATGTGGGCCAGAATAACACGTTTTGGTATTGAAGCTGAACATTAAAATGAGAATTTCCCCTTGTGTAACCAGAATTTTTCTGGTCTGATTGCAAGATGTTTCCTGCAGCAGGTGTAATTGCTTTTAGCCATCCAGGTGTCAGCAAATGTGGCTTACAAGATGCTTTTTGTCAATCTCTGCTAGGGTAAAAGACTCTAGCTAATTGTGCATTTGTACTACAGGTCTAACACAACCTAAAGGGAGAGAGCAGTTTTTTCTTCCTTCTGAAAGAAAGTACAGGAAAAGCAGTTATTTTCAGCTGCTGTCAACAGCATTCCACATTTATACCAGATAAGGAGGTAGCCTAATCAATTCAGAGATAGCAACATTTTTTTTTATCACTTTGAGGTTTTTTACTTGAATTTAATAGATTTGGCTCATGTTTGCATGTTTTGCCTCATGCCTCCTTTGGTTATTTGACTTCATTGATTCTCATATCTGGAATCTCAGCAGTTTTTGGATGAAATTGTCTTTCTAAGGCTGAAGATTTTCCTCCTTGTATAGTGAGACTTGAAATCTCTGTTAGTGTTACAGGACAGAGCTCTGCTGAGAAATCTAGGTTTTGCATCATGTTATTCTCCTCTGGGACAAGAAGTGTTTACTTTTCCTAAGCATTGGACAATCATTAAATTAGTTTGATCTTCACATTCTGTTCTTTACTATAAACAAGGAGAACTTACTTTTTGAAGGTGCAACTTGTGAAGCATACCATTGCAAAGTGATTTAAAAACCTGTACTAAATAAATTAATGGAAAACTGTACAGCTGGGGCTGAAATGTTTCTCATTTTGGGAGTGCTGAAGGCTCTGGCAGGACTAGTCATCTGATTTGTTATTAAGCAAAGATGTTTTCAGAAAGGTCTTCTTGAATGTTTTCGTTTCAGTTGCTGTTACTGGCATGAACTTTAAACCATTAAAGTCGATCACGGGGCTCAGAAGTGTGTAACGCCTGTTTTTTTGTCTTTGGTGCTTTGACCCCATGTTAGGAGAGAAGCAGAGAAATAAGAGATTTTGCCTGGCTCTTCCTCTGAAAATCCACCTTACCCTTCCTCTTCCCATACCCCCGCAGGGAGCGCTTATTTCACTTGGAGCCAACACAGCAGAGACTTGACCTATGTAGCCTTTTTATTTTGAAGCAAAATATTGACAGCACAGAAAACCATGCTGTTTCAAATCCCTGGTTGCTTTCATATCAATGAAGTGTACTTTTTTTGCTAGATTAATGAAGGTCAAATAATTGAATAGTAACAATTAATTGCAGTGGTACAAAGTGTCTTCAAAATAGCAACATGCTAAAAGTTTGATCTTCATTGCAATGGAAATTTTATTTCTCTGAAATGCCTGGGAGAACTGTATTTTGGTGTTTACTGATGTCCTCAGTTGGTTAAGCTGAACAATGTGCTTTAGGTGGTGCGCTGAGATCCTTATACCTAAGAAACTGTGTTGAGTGTCATTGAGATAAACTGTTCTAGGAAGCACAGAGATTAGTTGTGTTATTTGACATGCTATGAGTGATGGATGAACAGTGGGACAAAGGCATATGAAGGAGAGATAAAGTTGGGAGACCATGTTCCAGTTGCCAAGTGGTGGTGCTGGATTATCTCCATTAAAACAGTAACTGCAGGATGGGGAGAAACAATTGGGGTTTAGACTTAGCTGCTACTTATTATCACCTGAAGGTTGTACTGAAAGGAATGCATGAAAAGAATGCTAAAGGAATGCATGGAAATTAGCAAAATGATGAACACATTCGCAGCATTTAGAAGCTGAAAGGTTCTCTCATGCAGGGTATTGCAGTGACTGTCCTCATGTAGTGTGGAGGGGGAGCTGCTAGGCGAGTGGCCTCGACGACTTTCCTCACTGGGATCTTCATTCGTATCAGCATGGAGATTGCATAGATCACATATTGAAAGTTTTTATGCTAATTTTCAATTGGTCCTACTTAAAGATGAGCAGATGGGAAATGTGGACCGGGAACACCTGTCATTCTCTTGGTTGGCATT